TTTCCCAGCAGCCGCCTTTTACAGGTGGGTCAGCTGGGTCTGAAGAGCAGAGACCAGGCAGGAGCCCGGTGGGACGGCTTCCTCTAAAGCTGTTTAAAAATACTCCGAGGCTTCAGGTCAGGTTCAGGCCTTTGTGTTCCCGGGGCTGAACTTACTCAAGAGGCTTATTCTGTTCCTCAACAGAGCTTTTGTTTTGATCTTCCTCCTTCCCTTTACTGCCCACAGGACTGTTATTCTCTGTGCTGTCTTCACTGTCCTCCTGCAGGTTTTGCAGCCTGGATGTTGCACAGATGAAGATAAATGAGATGGAAAGCTCAGACAATTTCGCTCTGTGGACCAATAAAACTGCCAAATCCTGAAGAACACAACATATGCAGACATGGCTAAATAGTCTAAATGATGATAAATGCCAAGAACATGAAGTAAATGAAGATAATATATGTAATTGTATTAAAGAAAGTCATATTTTTGCCTCGGTTATTTATTGTTTCTCATTCAGCTTCAGTTAAAATATTCTTCCTGTATTTATTTCCTTTTCTTTTTCTGTATTTGTTTAATTTACTTTTCATTCAGAGATTTTTATCAACAAATTATTTTTTTCAATATTTGTCTTTTATTAATTTTGTTTTTGTATTTTGTGTCTTTTACAGTTACAAACCATCATAGGCTCGCCGTGCTCGTATTGGTTCATATCAGAACAGGAATGACCCTTTCCAAAAGACGCCACCTGAAAGCGGAAGTGACTCATGGGGACTTCCGGTACCATAACAACGGTCAAATAAAAGTTTTAATTTGACGGACCCGAACAGCCTTTTATCAGGGTCGGTGGGGGGTCTGACAAACGCATAGCAGATATTTTAAAAACGTTCAAATATATTTATAAAGTCAAACTTTAGGCAGTTTGTTCCAACCAAAGCTAAGCTAACCGCTAGTCACTTCCGGTCGTTATGGCTTCGCGTCAAGCCTCGATGGTATGACATGAAAGTAAAAAGTCAAGTAAAAATAAACGTCTTTGTAGCATTTATCATCATAGAAATATTTATTTCTAATTACATTTTTTTTTTTAAAGTTTAGCATAGAGGAAAAAAAAAAAAATCTGTTGTCAAAGTGGAAACCACCATACTTGAAAAGCACACTGCTGTCACAGAATATGTGTCAGCGCTTTAACTTTAGGAGGATTCACCTTGATTACATGATCAGTTTTAAGACCCATTAGGGGGGTTTCTAAATCACGGTCCATAAAAACTGGACAGACACTTTTTAGGTGATTGACCTAAAAAGTCGAACTATTCGTGTCGACTGGGTCCAGTTTCCATGATTAGCACCACAGGAGGGATAGCGGGATGCTAGTGATGTCTCTGAGCCGAGCTCGGCCGCAGACTTACTCTGGGTCCTCCTCGTTTTCCTCCTCCAGGATGTTGGGCAGCCTGTTGGGAGCAGGAAGTCAGGTCAAGAGGTTCAGAGTGTCCAACGACTCACTCAGAACGTCTTTTCATGGAGTTTTTAGTTTCAGGATCCAGCTCTGGCCTTGTGGCGGAGCGATGCTCGGACAGTGTGGGAGCTGGTTTGTGGGTTGGACTCACTGATCGGTGGCCTCCGGCAGCGTTTCGATGACGATCTTTGAGGAGTGCTCGACCTCCAGCTGCCGCACAGCCTCCTCAGCAGCCTTCCGGGCCATCTCCTCTGCCACGCGGGCCGCCTCCAGCCGCTCCTGCTGCAGCCTGGACAACACAACAGGCTCTGAAACCCCGGGACCAACACAAGAGACTCTGAAACTAGGGGGACCAATACAAGAGGCGCATAAATCCCTGGACATACACAAGAGACTCTGATACTAGGGGGACCAATACAAGAGGTGCATGAATCCCTGGACATACACAAGAGGCTCTGAAACCCCTGGACCAACACAAGAGGCTCTGAAAACCCTGGACCAACACAAGAGGCTCTGAAACCCTTGGACCAACACAAGAGGCTCTGAAACTAGGTGGACCAACACAAGAGGCTCCTAAACCCTTGGACCAACACAAGAGGATCTGAAACTAGGGGGACCAACACAAGAGGTTTTAAAACCCCATGGACCAACACAAGAGGCTCTGGAACCCCTGGACCAACACAAGAGACTCTGAAACTAGGGGGACCAATACAAGAGGTACCTAAACCCCTGGACATACACAAGAGGCTCTGAAACTAGGTGGACCAACACAAGAGGCTCCTAAACCCTGGGACCAACACAAGAGGATCTGAAACTAGGGGGACCAACACAAGAGGTTTTAAAACCCCATGGACCAACAAAAGAGGCTCTGGAACCCCTGGACCAACACAAGAGACTCTGAAACTAGGGGGACCAATACAAGAGGCACCTAAACCCCTGAACATACACAAGAGGCTCTGAAACTAGGGGGACCAACACAAGAGGATCTGAAACCCCTGGACCAATACAAGAGG